TAGGGAGGCACCAACCAGACATGCTGGACTGGTATCAGCCCCAGTACTGTCATTGTGACCAATCTGCATTGAATACAATTTCTTTGCTAGTGCCGCCATAAAATTTGGTGTTTTCACTACAATTTGTATCTGTTCAATAATAACAGGCTTTTGTGCCACATCAGAGTTGGACTGATGCATGACCAGATATCATGTATTCACCTGCAGAAGTTCACTACATCTGCATGATGGTCACATGGAATACATTTAAATCTACTATGTTTCCTATTTTGCACAAGTTATGCCCCAGAAAGCCGAAAAAAACAAACTAAAAATCACTACTATTACTATTAGCGGAGCTGCCGTAACTTAAGTAATTTCACTATCATGGGTTTTACATAACAGTTTATATAAGAGCTGATTCACAGACATTTTCTCCTAAAAGAAACACAGAGTATGTGTATATGTGTATAAAGGGGGACTCTGTGACGTAACCATTGGTCTACTGTCTTGAAGTCTCGAGTTTGGCATTTGGCTGTTGAAATCTTGTTTTTTCTCAAATCGTACATGACAAGCAAGGGGTGGATCTGATTAAGTACTTGTAGACACTTTAGCACATAAAGTAGCAATGCTTTAATCAGATAGGCAAAGATAGACACACTCTAAAGGACACCTTGCTTTATCATCTATTTATCCCTAAATGGGATCCTAATTTACAAAATATGCATCACGCTGTGTTGAAGGAGACTCAAAACTACCAATGAAGGCCATGAACTCCTTAGAAAAATGTTTACAGACATAGCAAATCAAATGAGAAGGGTAGTTTTATTATAGACTTCTATACAATTAGACCTGTTTCTGCAGCCAGAGGAGTCACCCCCTGCTGGCCATTTCAAAGAATGCAGGATTAATTACTTCTGTTGTAGTTTCACCTTTCAGACCCAGAGGTTAAGTCTATCTTTTATATACGGTCTATGAAAATAAAAAAAACAAACAGTAAATATGTTTACTTCTTGAAATGACCTTGAAGTGGTGGATTCTACACTTCTATTCAAATTTTTGCTAAACTAAAAAAAAAAAAATTGGGCTGACAGTACAACCTTTAACAGATGATAACTCATCTGTCTAGTCCGTATCCATGCTGTGAGAGGGACACATGAAGTACATTTCTAGTGCAGTAAAATTACGTAAAAGATTAAGAGCAGAAATGACAGAATCTATCTCTATGTGCTGGTTTATGTGACTCAGATTAAAAAGAAGTGTCTGATGAGCTGAAGATCTTTCCTTGCTGGCCATTTACGCCACTTTTATTTTGCCAATTCAGCACAACCACGCGGATACACTGTAGGTGAAAGAGTTGTGATGCCTTTAAAAGAATTCATAACATCCAACCTGTACTGACCTTATACGGCAAATAAAAACTATCGATCCCTCTTCCCCAACTCCCACTTTAAAAGACTTATTGTGGAGCTCCATTTCATCTAATCACTTGGCAAAAGAGTCCAGCGTCTAAATAAAGAAAGAATAAATAAAAAAGTCCCCGGGCCAACGTGTTGCTCTCACCTTTGCAGATGAAATTACCCGAAAAGCTGTTACAAATCAATATAATCAATGCAATCAGCTAACTGACACAGGCAATCTCCTGCCAGTAAGTAAAATACCCCCGGCGGAGATCTTTCAATCTCTAGTGCCATAATTGCCCCCAAGGGCGACGTTAGGGTGTAGCATTTTGTACACTTAATTAAATTAGTGAGCTCTGTGGACAGGGTGGGTTGCCGATCTCAAAGAGGACGGATAGGTCTGGCCCCGTGCCAGTAATTAAGGCAATACCTTTCTTGATTACGCCAATCCCCCTTAATGAACTCATTATGCATTTTAACCCAAACACTCCCATGAATTAATGAGCGCACAGAAAGCTCCTGGATGGAAACAACGCCCCGATCACAAGCATAAGTCATAACTCATCCACTCAACGGGGTAGACGTAATGTCCATATTTCTCTCTCTTTCAGCTGCAGCCAAGACTAATTTGGACTTGAGTGACAGCAAAAGTTCCGAGTCCGTACACATAAAGCTTTAAAGAAATAGGATCTCTCCTCTGGCAAGTAACAACAGAAACTTACTGGGTGACTTTACAAGGTCTCCCTGGAATCGTATCCGAATTCACTGCATTCGGGGAAACTTTTGTGTGGTGATTTCTTGCACAGATATGCACGCATCCTCATGGGTTCCAAACATATGTGCAAATGATTTAAAGAGACCTAGGAACACCGCAGGGTGGGAGCAGGTCTGCACTGACCCATAATGCTTTGCTAATTAAATAATTCACTAATTGATTCATCGCCAAATCAATAAAGCCCGCAGATGGTTTATGGTGTGAGAGCTAAAGTGTGTTTGTGTTTGAAGACTGGGCTGAGGTTACAAATGAAACACACATCCACGGGCTCCAAAGCGCCAGTGCATCCTCTGACTGAATGACAAGCAAAAGCACGTGAAATTGGTGCTAAAATGTGGGCGAACATTGAGTTGACCTTGCACTTGTGTTGTATGACATCATTCAGCCCTTCACAGGCAGATGATGGTGAATATAAAAGGTGGGGGCAGAGCGTGAGCGCGCGCGTGTGTGTGTGTGTGTGTGTGTGTGTGTGTGTGTGTGTGTATGTGTGGGCTCCTGCTGAACCCATAAACACAGCTCCATCGTGAACCCAGTCCCAGGGGAGTCTGGGGTTTGTAGGTGGGCCTGAGGAAGAAATCAGACAGGATATTATTAATTCAACTGTAATGACTCCTTAGGGTGTTTGTGTATAAAAGGGCATATGCACTGTAAATATGTGGCATGTTGTGTATTCTTTATGACTGGTCATATTTGTGTGTTTGCGCCTGGTAAGGTAGGAATTACCTTTGAAAGTAATTGGGGCAGCAGTGAAGTGTGGCATCTCCCTGATCTGAGTGGATGTACGGGCTGTAAATCCAGCTGCATGAGCAGTTTGATATTTGTTTCCAAGCATGTGTGTGTGTGCGTGTGATTGCGCACACACAAACGCAGAAAGAGATGCTAAGAATGGCCACCAGCGCTCAGTGCTGTCAGATGAAGGTTGTGCTCATCTTCCAAGGGAGACAATTCATCTACGACTGAGACAACTTAATTCAAAACAAGTACAGAATTTTGAATTTTCAGTCACACTGCAGTGTAGAAAACTTGTTTTAAAAGCTAGAAATGAACAGCTACCACCGAAATGGTTCAGAAGCAACATTTTTTAATAAATTAAGTCACTTCTTTTGACTCGCCACAATAAATTAATTTGTTAACACTTTAAAAAACACATGAAAATTGGCATTCTTCAGTAACTTTTTCAGGGATTTTGAAATCTGTCTGCAGGGATTTGCACCTACTCTGCCACTAGAGACTCAGTCATGATGTTGGGTGATGAGACCAGGCCTGGAAATGATGGTCCAGTTCAAAAGTGTTGCTTGAAGTTAAGGTCTAATCTGTGCAGGCAAACATTTGAACACCAAATGTAGAAAACAATTTGTTTTTGAATCTCAGTTTATGCACTGAGGCACGGTCATCCTAAAAGAGGAATTTGTTTTGCACAAACCAAAAGGCTGTTGGACTTACACTTCTGGCTGAAATATCATCATATGCTGTACAAATAAGATTTCTTTTAATTGGAACTGAGCCTAAGCCAAACCATAAAAAACAGCCTAACATCACGATTCCTCTTCCGCCAAACTTTACAGATGGCAATATGAATCAAGGAAGGTATGATTCCTCTGGCAACCACAAAATCACGATTCAGGTGCCAGGAAGTAAAGCATTATTTATCACTTGAATGCAACAACCAATTTTCACTGATCCAGGGTCCAGTGGCAGTGTTTTTTTATGCCGTTCCATCAAATCATTGGTACAGCACGTGGAGAATTTTGGCTTTAGAGCTGCTACTCAGCCACGAACACTAATGTGATGAAGCTCCAGACAGATGGTGCTTCCCAAGAAAGTGTGGAACTTGGTAGTGAGAACTACTGCTATCACTTTAAGGACAATCTTTCCAGCAGAACTCCATTACTAATTTTAAAACCGCAAATCTAAGGTTCTATTATTTTAGGTATTTCCATCTCATGCTACTTTATATCTCTAATCCAGTACATTTCAGAGAAAATATCCACCGATTAAAGAAGTAAGACATTCCTGCTTTAGGTACAATGGACAGGTGTATACTGCATTAAGTCATCGTCATGACGCATGTTTGTAGCCGGAGTTGTGACCTCAGAGTCACTGTGGATAAGGTGTAACCCCAAACTGACAAGATTTGCAGCTTTAGTTATTTTTGTTGTTGTTGTAACAGATTAAGAATGTACTTAGAGAACATTATAACAATATACACATGTTCTACTACAGACAAAACCCCTCAACTGTGTATGAAATAGTCTGCCTCAGTTAAAAACAACCATAAAATCCTGCACTGAATTATGATCACTTTAACTTGGCTAATAGGGCTGCCAATAACAATTATTTTCTCAATTTATTGATTACTTGTTTGGTTCATAAAATGTCGGGAAATGGTGAAAAAATGCAGATCAGCATTTTACTAACTCCAAGATGATGTGCTTAAATGTCTCGTTTTGTCCGTTAGTTGAGAAGTAATGGATAAATCTCTGCAGCTCTGTTTGCTGATAATATTTACATGCTTTTACTCAAGTGACATTTTAGTTGCAGGGCTTTTATTTGTAATAGGAATTAACATTAGTGTTACTTTGCTTTCCTAAATAAAGGATCTGAATATTTCCTCCATTGTTGATAGAGTAGAAATGAGCTAAACTGACCACATCCTGACAGTACATTAAAGCCACAGAGTACAACACCTACTTTACTGCTTTTCTGTGAAGATTTCATAGCTTGATTTTGTGCAACTGAACCCACTGATTAGCAACGGTGCACAATATAGTTTTGCCCTATTGTCAAAGCATTTGAGGCAATTTCATTTAAATACTGACTCATACACTTTTCTCGACAGACTATTATTAAGTGTAAGATGCCATTTTATTTCACAATTATATTAAAAACTGTATACATAGTGCTACATTTTCATGTTTATTTATCCTTTACTGTGCAGTGAATAAGAGATGAAACATAATTTCAACATAACTTTCCAAAACACATTCTTATTAATATTTGGGATCTTCACCAATACACTTAGAAAATTTCTTATCAGCGGAATCAGACCATTATTAGCTTACCATTAACAGTTACACAAAAGTTTATAATCATTTAACATATCTAAACTTTGCATTAAAAGATAATAAATTTAAGCAGCGTGTCAGTTACCATTCCAATACATTCCAACAATTAACCATACAAGTTAACTATCAAGGACAGTTTTCAGTTTCATATGGTCCTATAATCACTGCATTACAGTCACAAAAGCATCAAACTTAAATGCCCAAAATATTACTTTTGTCTAATAACAGTTTTAAAGGTACCACTTGGGTCTACAAAGAAAGACCGTTAGACCCTTTGAGATGTGGGTGTACCCCTGAGAGAACAAAAGTGTGAGGCGGCATTCACACATGACAGGAAAGTCCCAATTAAACACGAGCTGGAATGGAAAATACTGAACTGTTTAAAAACACAACACAGAGAAAAATTAAGTAAAACGGGTCCACCTGCAATGCCACATATGACTTGCAGTAAATTTAAACATTTTCAGGTTATCCCTAAACTGTTTAAAATTTCTTTCTCCTCCGTTTCGGTGTGTAACAACTTCTTCTCCTGACAACGTCTTCTTTATTACATTTTTCGTGCAAGCAGATACTGTGTTGCTGTGTTTTATGAAATGTCAATTCATACAGACACACAAACATGGTGAATCACCATGTGACTATGTGGCAAGGGGGACTGTGATGGTGGAGCACCTTTGTGTGTTCAAATGCAGTACTGCAGGTCAAGAGCTCTCTGCTGCTTAACTTTTCCTCAGTTCAGGCAAAAATAGTGTGAACAAGGGTGTGGTGAAAAGCTGGAGGTACACACTGTAGATTACAGCCCACATGTGTAACCCACGAGATGTTACAAACACAAAACTGAGGAATTAGGATCAAGAGAAAGGGACTATATTCCTTCTCGGTAGGGAACGTCTTCCGATATGCATTGAACTCTGGTAGCTTTCTTCCACTGGAAAGTTTGGCAAAGCTTTTCTGTTGTCCCTTTTCTCATAAAAAATTCAAACTACACTTTAAGACGAAAACTGTTATACGCTAGAGATACGCATTTTGCTAAGACTTCTGCCACTAGCTGGTAAGCTTAACTTAGCATAAAAACTGGAACTGCTCCATCCAAAGGTGAAATCAACCTGACTAAGCTTTTAAAGCTTACTAATTAACATGTTATCTCTTGTTAATACAATCTGATTGAACCAACAAGATATATCATGATAATTAATGAGCATTAAAAGTGCTCGTTGGCCTATGTTGTTGCCTTCGAAGAGGGGGAGCTGTTTTCCTCTTTTTCCAGTTCCAATTGTAAACTAAACTAACAGGCTGCTGGCTCCTGCTTCACTTTGAACTAACCGGTATGAGCGTTGTATCCATCTTCTTATGCAACTCTCTGAGACGGCCAATAAATATATTTTTCAAAACAAGGTAAAGCCACTTCATCATATGACCACTGCCAAAAGCATCATACTTCTGGGACAAATTACACTTAAGGCAAATTAGATTAATCAGATCATTTGGTAAATCTTTAAGGACTACAACAATGTTCTGTGATGGAATGGATCATTCAAACTAAAAGCTGATACTGTTGCCAAGCTCCCCAATATGAGTGAAAACTGGTACCTTAGCTTTTACATTAAAGTCAATAAATAAAAGAAATTATTTCAAGTTGGAAATAAGAGTGTGCAAAGGTCTCCATGACTCCACACCTAGTGCACCGTCCAACATCAGACCATGTTGGTTTGGGTGTTCGGGCTCCGACTCTGCAGGTCCTGTACCTGGTCAAGAACCCAGTTGATGTTTGGTCTCTCCTGGGCATTTGAAACCATTATGGAGCTCAGCAGCATCTGCAGACCCTCTGAATAACTGGGCACAAAACAGAAACCAAATAATACTTTCATTTTGATCCATATTTAGTGCTGCAGACCTTAAAAAATGACTTTCACATGCAAGTACAAGCATGCATCACTAACACCAATTACAGGATAAGTATTGTTACAAAGTCTTTTGATATTGCAAAAAAACAGATCAACTGCAGGCAAGGTCTCAAGGATATAGTCAGGGTTCATACACTACCAGAACAACCTAAACTAAAAAAAAAAAAAAAAAAAAGCTTACTGAACTTGTGTTGTCACATAGCATTTTTTGCTCAATTAAAAAGGGAAACAAGCTACATTTAGTTAGCTTGTACTGGACTTGAGAAGCCAGACTCCAGTTCATTTCGCTGCACTTTACCCAAGGAAAGCAAATGTAAATGAAAGTCCAGTAGAAGAATATTTTAGGTTAGTTTTTGGCTGCTAATATAAGTATAATATAATATAATAAGCCCTAAAATCAGCCAGACCTTATTATGATTACTTTGAACTGCAACATGTTTTTTTATTTCACTAAACTTCTCAGTAGAAAACATGTTTGTTTTCAACCACTATCAATGGCAGAAACAGAAACTGATGCATTAATGGCATCACTTAAAGTTTCATGGTTCGATAAAGTTGCAGCATAAAGACCTACCTGCAAGACTGTGGGATGGTCACTGGATTCTGGACAGCCAAGGCAACACTGTCCCCCTTCTGAAACACCAGATCGTATGGACCCTCCAACATCATCATGCAGTAAAGCACACAGCCAAGTGACTGCAGGAAAACCACAAATCAAAACCCAAAAAGAAGTAGTCAGTAAAGTCAGTGAATATTCCACAGTAATTTTCACCAGAGCTTTCAGGGATTTACTTCACAAATAAAAAGGGATGAAGACTTTCAGACTATACCCAGATATCAGTGCGCTCATCGATAATGCAGTGGCTCTCTACATTGAAGAGTTCAGGAGCCCTATAGGAAATGGTGCACCTCTGGGCTGCCCAATCCTGTATGGTCATGGCTTCTCTGGATCCTCTAACCTGGAATAAACACAGATTTTTCATCACAAAGTAAGAATCAGGCCCTAATGTTTAAAAGATAAGTCTCTAATGTCATGAAGTGTTCTGAGGACGCAATCAGTGTTGGAAGATCAAGTGATGGAAATGTGAAAAATAAACTTGCAGCAGTACCACACATATCCAAAGACTATGACAAAATTTTACAAGCTCGATGCTCCAATACAAAAAGTGAGCAAGTGAAATACACATTGTTGGAAGTGTTTAAAAAAAAAAACAACAAAAAAAAAACACGAAAATCTTTCAGGCAGCAAACAAGCAAATCCCACAATAAAAACTGTAAAAATGTATTTTAACTCCCCATCATGTCACTTATGTCTCCGTTGGTTTATTGTTCACTTGCATGTTTTCATTGGTAAAGTACATAGAAAGTAAATCTAGTAAGATGCAGTCAGAGAAATAACTGCCAATATCCACTTTAAAAATGTGACACATGATGTTTTGTATGAGGTTCACTAGCATCAAAAATGTTATTCTGCCATCTAGAGGTGGAAGTGTGACACACATACAGGTCATTTGTCTGAGTTGAATCAGATTTTTCTGTCTTTTAATTAAGACCTGTAGTATCAGTGGTTATGAAGTGTTCAGTTAGAACATAAAACACTTCAACACTTTTTACCTCAATCCTGGCACGATTCATTGAGCCGAGATCCATCAGAACTGGCCTGTCATCCTCATCCAGAAGCACATTTGTGGGCTTTAGGTCTCTGTCAAATTAAAGCACATAGCATGTGTTCAGACACAGGCACTTTTCTTATATATATATATATATATATATATATATATTTTATTTTATTTATATATATTAAGAAAAGAAGAACACACAAAAGTTGCTATTTGGCAAAATAGTTAAATATCATAATTGAGACACATGAGAATTTATACTTGATAGGGATAACATTATAATTCCTACTTAACTTGTATTTCTCTGCCAAATCAAAAGTGGACAATACAGAATGAATGATCAACCTCATTATGCGGAATGCCTTGATAGAAACTGTAATTCTGTATCCTCAGCTAATCCTGTGCTGTGACAAGGTGCTTACTGGCACAGTGACCAAACGTACACATTCCACATTCACATTCTTTGCTCCAAATAAGCTTATATGTTGCAGAATATATTAAAGTAGACCATTTTTGTTTACCCAATAATAGCTACAGTATGGCAAAAGGCTGCTAGACTCACAACTGTGAATTTCAAAACAGTGGTTATTTTTTTATTATGTTGACCTTTCTTCTCAAAATATACAAAACTGTGCGGTAAACATTTTTTTCTCTTTTTTTGTCTAGTGTCTTGATTCCCCAACTATTTTAGTAAGTTACAGTATGCAAGCTCATTATTTCAACATAACTGTAGAACCAGTATCAACCAGTAGCTTTTTAAGCTTTTTATATTGTGACAGCTGTGAAGAGCAAATGTGTGTGTGAGTGTGTACACAGAGAGAGGGACTACCTGTGTGCATAGCCTTTTTCATGAATGGCCTTTAGTCCAGAGCAGATTCCTCGAAAGATTTGCAAAATCTGTTTTTCAGGCATTAAGCTCCCTTTGTCCCTTAGCTTCTCCAGAACAGACCACAGACTTCCTTTCTGCTCACAGAAACACAACAACATATCAGTCTGATAATTTCCTGCTAGTTTATTCTGGTCGCGCCAACTGCTGCAACAACTTACTCTAACATAAGGCAGAAGCAGCCAGGCTTCACTCTTGCCTCCATGATCGACAAAGGTGTGTGCAACCAGGCTCAAGACATTGGGGTGATTGAACATCTGATGCATCTCCATCTCTGTCTGAGCCTCCTGGCGGCCTTCACGGTCATGACACAGGATTCTCTTCAGGGCATAGAAGCGCCCATCCTTTGCCCCCTCTACCAGATCAACGTAACTGAAGCCACTAAAGTGAAAGCACACGAAGATTAGAGTCTGGAAGGAGCAGATGAACCCAAATTGGACTAATGATGAGGGTGGCTACATTTCTTTCTTTTCTTCTTCTTTTTTTTTTTTTTTAAATATATTGTAAATACATCTCATTAAAAGGCCATCAAAACATTAATCCATGTCAGTATGCTCCGATGTTTTCCAGCAAGTATGAGATTTTCAGCCCCAAACTCATTTGTACCTATCAACCTGTTAAATACTAGTACCCTTTTCCCCCCCCAATTTCTTCAACAGAAATGTACTAGCTTTTTCAGAAACATTCCTCAATGAGGCATAAATTGTGTATTTTGGGGGACTGTCACAAGATCTGGTGTGACAGTTTCTAATTATTCAGTCAAGATGCTGTATGTAGGTCTGACTCTAAAAATAACTTGTAGAGCCCATGTTCATTACAGTGCGAGAGTATGCCACTTCATGCAGCAGTGAGGCTTAGCAGTTTTTGGACAACAAAGGCTTAAACTCCATGAACAAATCTAATTTCTGGTAATTATTATCGGATTTGTTGCCAAACAAATGCAGAGTACCATCACACTCAGGTGGAGTTACCTAAAAACAAACGGTGTGAAAATGTTATCTTACCCTTCGTCTAGCTTCTGGACAAAGTAATATTTTTTGTTGTCGATGGTGAGAGAGCCACGGGAGCATATGCACAGGGTTTGCCCCATCTTGACTGGTACATTGTTTAACGCCAAGCTTTTAAGGCTCTGGGAGGAATGAAAAAACAAATACAAAAAGTTACTCGAGAACACAGCCGGACATATAGAGATGTAATTTTACTTTCTTCCTAAAACCCGTTAATTATTAAAAGCAAACTGTGAGATACTAGCCCAGTGTGGAAAGTTGTATGCTAAGACAACTAACAAAGTGACAAATTAGAAACGTTAAGCGATACGTTAGCTAACAAAACACAACATCTAAAGTAGCTTAGCATAGCAACTTCCTTGCTACAACAGACAAAATATGACCCCGAACTTTGATTTCCTTTTAACGTTAACCAAAGTAGCTGTGTTATTTTAAGAGACTGCCAAATATAATGGACAGTTTTACACAACACAGACTCAATAATTAATTGTATTACATCTTCCTCACCAGCGTTATGTTTATCAAGTTAGCTTGCTACCATGTTTCGCTGCTTCCGCTTCCGCTTCTCCTCCTTCTTCTTTTCTTATAAACAGCGCGAGGCTTGTTTGGCACACAGCGCTAGAAGAAGACTGGCGGCAGAAACCGGCAAGTGCGTTTGAGAGGAGATATGATGGCGGATTACGAGCGTAACAGGAGGGACTCCAGCGACGATGGAGGTGATATTTGTGCTTTTTTAGCATCTAAAATGTAGCCGAGAAATAATCTGTATATAACGTTAGCTTGGTGTGCCGTTTATTGATTAAAACTGACCCCAAGTGAGGAGATGTTCGGAGAACTTTACTAAGATAACTTCATATTAGCTATGAATCGTTAGCTAGCAAATGTGAAATAACAATTAACATTGTATTAATGTCACCTAGTTAGCCGTGGACTTGACATACCGTTAACGTAATCCAGATATTAAAGCAAAGACTTAGTTACTACTGACAGGTCTCCCTTAAACTCTCTATTCTCCCGTTAGCTTGCTAACCTGGCGTTTGCATAGCTAGCCTAAGTAGCTAACCTAAGCTACGTAGCACAGGTATCCAGCTAGGTTACCCCCAGTAGAGGCGTTACTATTGCCTGCTCTCAACAACTACAAACATTACCTGTAAGTTAATTCTAACTCTGATATTGTGGGTAGTTTCTGCACATACAGTCCCTAAATGGACTCGGACTGTAGGTTAACTTGTAGACTGGAACTTAAGTTACCTTTGGTTCGTTGCTGGCTAGCCTCACAGGTAAAGGTGATATAGCTTTTATTATTTCCACTTCCCAGAAAACAGTTGTTCACCTTGGTGAGTTGTCTTGCCTCAAGCAGGGCCGCAGGAGGAGGAAGGCAGAGTGAAAACTAAGCCTGTCTCTTGTAGCACTGTGGGGGGAGAAGGGACCGCAGTCAAGCGCACCTCCCAGCACCTCACTCCTGAAGATGAAGATGAGTCCTCAGCAGACCCACCTGCACCTTGCAAAGTCTCCAAAATAGGCTTTAGCATGAGCAGTCAGATGGCGAAGAAATCGAACCCCATATCTATCAAACTTGGAGCAACAGTGAGTTTGTAGCAATGCAAAGACTGTAGACATGGTGTTGTAACTTGGATCAGGCTGTCATGAAGCTACAGACAGTTGCATGACAGCATGAAAGTGTAAATGATCATAACGCATTCATAGCACAGGGCTAGAGAGGCCCAGAAAGAGGATGAAGGCCAAAGTCCTAAGGAGTTATAACCACATGCTGTTTATGTGTCAGCTTCATTATGAATGGTGTTGAAACAATTAATAATCATTGATCATGATCAGATTGATTGTGGGTTAACCTTAATCACATGTGAGGCATTGCCCTTTCTATTTTATAAAAGCAGTGGTGACATACAATGCAGCTAGGGTATGTTTTTTGTTTTGTTTTGTTTTGCTAAATCTTGTGTCTTCAACCTTTTCTAGAAACCTAAAGAGCCTGCACCAGCAGCTCCTCCAAAAAAGCCATCTGTTTTTAATGAAGACGATGATGTAAGTGCACATGCACATAACACTGTCATGGGTGTACAAACGCATAAACAACAGATGTGCTAACTTTCTGATGCCGTGTAGAGTGAACCAGAGGAGATGCCTCCAGAAGCTAAGATGAGGATGAAGAACATTGGCAGGTATGTACACAATGCACTGTTTGCTCAGCTTCTGCTTTTTTGAAAACAATCAACTTTTGAACCATTTTTATTAATTACTACACTTCATATATATATATATTTTTTTTTAAACTAATATTGCTGTTTTTTTTTTCAGGGAGACGCCAACGTCTGCAGGACCTAATTCCTTCAACAAGGGCAAGCAGGGCTTCTCTGATCATCAAAAACTTTGGGAGAGGAAGCTGAAGGCTCAAGCAGACAAATTGTAAATGACTGCCACAGATTTTGTCACTAATGAATAATTTTGTATAGATTAACCATGTCATATATCTTTAGAGGCTTAAATAATTCCTCACTGTAGCCTTGGTTTTTACAATTTTTGAGCTATGTGGACATGTCATGAAGAATACTTTAAGCCTTTCTATGATTGAAACTGAACCCGCATTTACCTTTCTAACCACTACTGGCTGACCCTGAGAGGAGAGTTGCCAGACGGTCAAGCCTCTACGAGAGGTGTGGATGGGCGATGGAGGGACGAGACAGACAAATAAGCGAAAATATTGTTTAAACTGTTTAAAATTTGCAACTGTTGCTTTCTGCTGGCGAATGAGAAAAGCTAGTAGAGCCCTCATGCTCCCTGTGTGATGTATTTGTTCCTATCTGAAGCTGGTTAGGCGTGGTGCTGAGCAAATGTGTTGCTTGTCTATTTGTGTAAAAATGTACACAGTCAGCGTGACAGTGATTTGTTCTGAAATCCACAAATTGGAGTGTGAGTGTTATGTGTTGCAGAGAAAGTAGGTGTACAAATGAATGTTTGTGTTTAATTTAGTTTCTAAAACTCTATGTCCAACCCTTTGTTTTCGCCAGCTGTGCCATCTCAGAGGTCGTCTTTTTTTTCTCCATGTATTTGTTTAAGCTTTCGTGCTAGTGTTATTTGTTTCGCCTGCTCAACTATATTTCTTTTTGAGTCGCTGAATGCAATAGAGATGTGGTTGTATCTATATTTATGTTCCCAACTTAACATGTATTTTAATTGGCAACTTTGAAAACCAGAAACCTTCAGCCGTGACATGGACTTTAGAGTTCTGGTAAACAGTTGTGAATTATTTCTAAGTGGTTCAGATATAGGTCATTTGCAAGCTTTTTTTTCATTGCCACTTCAATGTCACAACTATTGCTTTAATCCTTTTATTTCAGATAAATGTCACACTTTACCCTGTGCCTGAAACTCTTTTTGGAAATCCCCCTTGATGAGAAATATAAACACTGAATTCCTCCGTGACTTACCTTGCTGTTTTGCAGACATCCCCAAATGAGTGAGATCCACTGCTGCCCTCTTTTTTTGTCATCACACAAGACTTTTTTTTTTTTAAATACATGTTTGAAAGCCAGTCAAAAAGATTAGATATGTTAAGTTTTTTTTTGTTTTGTTTTGTTTTTTTATTGCTGACATATTGACAGTAACAAAATCCACGAGAAACCATTTGAATGTTAACTTTGTTTAATAATTTAGAGCATCTGTTGTTTTTAAGCTTACTAGTACATTTTCTCTCCCATTATTTTAATCATTTAAACTGCAGAGTTGCAAGAGAAAAATGATTTTCCACTGTTGGGCTGACAGTTTATTTTTGGTACAGATGGAAATTCACACATCACCACTGGACCATGAGCATTGCGCTGAGGTTGACACTTTTTCCTACATTTGAACATGACATTTTAATTTTCATCATGGAAACTTCCGTCATTTATTTTTTTGTTTCCGGTCTCGCACTGAAATCACGTAAAGTAACAAGTGTAGGAGTAGAATTTGCATTTCTGTATTAGAAAGTTTAAAAAAAGAAAAAACAACAAAAAAAAACTGTACACGGTGTTGGAAATATAATACTTCTAACACAATTTAATCATTGGTGCTGCATGACTGAAGCCAGCCTCACTGTCTATGTTGGGCATAGCCTTCCTTAAAGATCCCCAGAAGTTGCTTTTGGATCTGGCAGGTTTGCTTGAGCTCCATTTCAGACTGGGCAACACCCTCAGGGCCTTTCGGACCAGGGTGGGCAGTGGAGGGTCTGCCTCCATGAGGGATCCAGACGCTCCACTCGTCCATATTAGCAGGAGTTTGAGGGCACGCTTTTGCAGCAAAGCCTAAAAATGTCAAACAAGTAAAATCAAATATTTGACACGTGCATTGAACAGCTCAACAACTCTTTGAAGCAGTTTTCAATCAGACCATACCAGTGTTTTTTTTTTTTGTTTTTACTCCAACCACGCAGCTACTGTTTTCAGTTTGTGTCAGCAGAGCAAATATAATGACACAAGTGTGAATGTTTGAGCAGTGCATTCAGGATGTGTGTTGCTGGGAATTCCAACCAAGAAGACTTAATGTTTCTAACAATGACAGAGGGTAGTATTTAGTCATGGTTTACTAGAAATACCTGGGAAATACTGATGAGAGTAAAAATACACTTAAAAGGGAATTTTCATGAAAGTAGTTGACAATAAGGTAGGAAGGGATCAGTTTCCTTTAAAAAGCCCTCAAAAGGTATTACAACCATACATTTCTTTACAAAGAAGAAATATTGGCTGAATGCAATAATTCATGCTGGTTGTAAGACATTACTATATGTGTAAACTGTCAGGAGACATGTTATACCTTTCAAAGTTCCTCTGTGCACAGAACACTTGAGTCCTCTTTTTGATATTTTCTTCAAATAGCATCATCATATATATCATATATATCATCATATGTATTTTTAGAGTCTTACATTTAACGTGCTGAGCCTGAGGAAACCCTAGACTGATTACACTTCTAATATCTGAGAAATATAGGTCTACCTGGATTCCTGATTCCAGCACAAAGACAGCATTGCTGTTGGTGAGGTAGTCGGCTGACAGGACGCAGATGAGCATTCGGCTTCTCTCTATTGCAAGGACCACATCATTTGTGTATGCTGCAAAACAACAACAAAAACATGAGGAATATTTGTGGACAACAAACACACACACAGACACGCACAGTCCATCATCTGACCTCCACCAGGAAGCATGTCTCTGTCTAACAGACAGAGTCGATACCCCCACTGGTCCTCCAGCACCTTGGGAAGCAACACTTCCAGTGGTCTCTGGGTGGCTTCACCGTCATCTGTGCTGAACAGTTCTGTGATAGATTGACATGCTGCCAATGAAAGAACAGGGTAATTTACTTAATCACTGAAATGACGTGAAAATGAAATCCGGATGACGGTTTAATGCAATATGTAGAACCCACCTTCCTCATTTTTGAAAGATCCTGATCTGGAGGAAAGAGTCCAACTTTTCGTAACATCTGCTAACAGAGGGCTCCATGCGTACGAGAGAAACACGTCAAACTGTTTCTTTTCTGGTAGGTGTGGGATCATGTGAAAGAAAAAAAGGACAGCAAGCATTAGAGATTTAAACCCGAGCTGAAGTGCAGCCTCATAGTGTGCAGTCTACATTTTTTCAACTATATGCACTCGATTAAGACTATTTTAAGCTGTGATCACAGTATTTCATTGCAGTACATAGGGTGAAATGAGCTGAAAACAAATGGCTTCTTTGTGTAGTGGTGGAGGTCTATCTTGAAGTCAGGCTTTATCCAATGAAAGTGAGCAGCAGTTACAGTCAGCATGGCAGAAATATGCCTTCAGGATCAGTTTATCATTGAGTTTCTATATTATAGCGTGTGTGTGTGTGTGTCTGACCTGTATCATGTTTTCCATATTGAAAGTAGGATCTGTAGATAATCTCCAATTCCAGCCTTTTCAAATGCACGATCCCTCCCAGCCCAGCTACCACCAGGAAGGACACAACAGCATGTCCAACCAGGCAGGGCCATTTTGCTGAAAGCAGGTTCAAAATACACTCTTAGAATGTAGCATGTCTTTAAAGCACCAATAACTGACTCAAGCCGTAAATGCAAATTTGACAAGCTGATATGGCAAACTAGTTAGCTTACTGACACATCCAGCAGAAAGGGCAACATTAGTAAGAATTTAGACTCATCGATCCAAGGTTTTGAAAGATATGGTTAAAAACAGAAAAAAATCTGATGCTTTCTTGGCGCCAAAAACAAGAAGGGTGTCAACAGCAGGCTGCTGTAAAAACTGATGGTGTGAAGTGAACAAACGTGACACAAACAAGACAGGAAACAACAAAAACGAGAGACAAAATGACACGATCAAGACACAAAACAACACCAACGAGACAGAAATTACACAAAACCAGACACAAAGAAGACAGAAAACAACAAAAGCAAGACAGTAAATAGCATAGAGCAAAACAAATGAAACACAAAATGACATAAAACAACAAACATGAGATAGAAAACTACAAAAACGAGACGCAGAACAACACAAAAGGAGACACAGAATAACATAAATGAGACACCAAATGACAAAACAACAAAGATGAGACAAATAAATGATACACACAAGACACAAAACGATGAAAATATGAGACTAAACAACCCAAACAAGGCACAAATCTGCAAAAAAGAGGAGTTACAGTCACAGTATTAAACAGTAAACCTCATATTTTCCTGTAGAACGCTGGAATTAAATATACAGTAACGAAGTGTTTAAATAAATACAGTTGTAAAACTGTGAAAATGCAGTTAAATTCTGGAGATTCTTTTAATTTTACTGAAACATGTCACAGTGTATATTTTACTGCATTGCCAATTTATTTTGGTATTTCATCCAAGATTATATAAACTATAAATTAATGTGATGTGAAGACGACAACAGAACCAATAGTACCTTTATTTCTCCTTTTAAGCTTGATAGTGATGCTGCTGTTTCCTACGGCATTACTTGTGCTGCAGGTATACGTGTGGTTCAAGTGCTGTGGCGTCACCTTTTTTATGATGGAGACCTGAATGATCTTTAATTCCTCAAGAATCTCTCGCTGCGGACTGAATCACAGAAACAGTGTTAACTGCTTTGCATACGAAAGCAAACCTGTGATCCAGACCGAGCTGCATCACCGTCTTTGGATTTTACAAAATCCCACAAAGCAAACAGAGGCACTGAACAATGAAGGTGCTTGCTGGAAAAAGAAGCAAATGTTGACTAAGGGACTGCAGTGACTCACTGAAGCTCCTCCGAGGGCAGCAGAGTCGTATTCTCCGTGTTGCCGTTGTAATTCATGTACCACAATACCTTTGGTGAAAACCCTTCTTCATATTCGAAGCTCACCTTACAGGTCAGATTGTAAGGGAGACCTAGAACAAATAAAAACAGGTATTAAATACAGCCCCTTAAAAGCCCCCTACGTTACACCTATTTGCCCCCCTACAAAATATCTACTATATATTTTGGGATATTTGACACACGTAAATGTTTCAGATCATCAAATACTTTTTTATTATAAGACAAAGATAACCCAACAAAATATATACAGTGCAAGTTTTTAAATTATGATTTCATTTATTGAAGGAGAAATACTGTCCAGCCCCGCCTTGCCCCATGTGAAAAAGTAATTGCCTCCTTCGCTACCAGTCTACCAAATGATCACATTCAGTTGGCAATCAGGGTTCAGTTCCACCAGTCACATCCACGTATGATTACTGGCAGGCTTGTTGAATCTAAACATGACCGATATAGAACGAAATATGATGTGAAACAAAGTCATTAACATTCATCAGTCTGGAAAGGGTTATGAAGCCATTGCTGAGGCTCTGGGACTCCAGAGAAGCACACTGACATGAACATGAAAACATGTAGCCGTGGTGAACCTTCTCAGGAGTGGCCGGCCCACTAAAATTTCACCAAGAGCACGCTCATCCAGGAGGTCACAAAAAGACCCAGATGAACATCGAAAGACTGCAGGCCTCAGTTGCCTCAGTTAAGGTCAGTGTACTTGATTCCACAATAAAGAAGACACAGTAGTGCAAAAATGGCATCCATGGGAGAGCTGCAAAGCACAAACCACTCCCGACCAAAAAGAACACAAAGGCTCGTCTGGCATTTTACGGAAGCCGAGAGTGGTCCTTTTACTGCTACTGTTCTTTCTTCGCCGTTTTCTCGAGATAACGAGTTAATTTTCTCGTTATCTCGGGATAACAAGAATCGTTTTCTCGTGAAAACGAGATAATTGGTGTTTGTATTGGCCCACTCGTGCCCGGTCCAGGAAGGAATCCCAGGTGTGTGGGACCTCCCACACACCTGGGATTCCATCCTCAGTCACCAGCGGGGGGCGGGAGGACAGACGAGACCGGGCACGAGCACTTCATTGTAAGTTGTCATGCCCGGTCAGCTGTTCTCATGACACGTCATGTCGGAGTTCCCGGTCAGCTGTCTATATAAGATACGTCACACCAGGAAGTCCGACAACTTCTGATGAAGGCTGAAGTGACAGCCGAAACTGTCAATGAGATAATTATCTCGTTATCTTGAGAAAACGAACGCCGTTTTCTTGAGATAGCGAGATAATTATCTCGTTATCTCGAGAAAATGCCGTTTAAAAAAATGTGCGGCCATGACTGCTCTCGGCTTCCGTAGGCATTTGAAAAAAAACCCCAAAAAACATGTAGATGAGCCCCAACACTTTTAGGATCACATCCTGTGGACTGATGAGTCAAAGGGGAGCTTTTTTGAAGACATGGGTCCCTGTACATCTGGCGTAAAGCTGAAAGTGCATTCCACAAGAAAAACATCATACCAACATGGTGGTAGTGTGATGGTTTGGGGCTACTTTGCTTCCACAAGACCTGGATAAGTTGTCATAAGTGCTGTGTATCTGAAAATCCATTTGGAGAATATCTGCCCATCACCTAAAGCTTAAGCAGCGAATGGATTATACAGAATGACAATGATCCAAAGCACACAAGCAAATCCGAAACAAGATTAAGATTTTCAAGTGGTTGAGTCAAAGTCCAGACTTGAATCCAACTGGGATGCTGGTGAAGACCTTAAAAGGGCACTTAATGCTCGAAAATCCTCTAATGTGACCGAATTGAAACTATTCTGCAGAAAAGACTGAGGCGTAACGTCTCCATGGTGATGTAAAAGACTGATCACAAGCTATCCAAACGTTTGACTGCAGTTGTTGTTGCCAAAGGTGGCCCAGCCAGTTAATTGGTTTAGAGGGGCAATTACTTTTTCATAGCACTGTATATATACATAGAGAAGAGAAGAGAAGAGAAGAGAAGAGAAGAGAAGAGAAGAGAAGAGAAGAGAAGAGAAGAGGATACCTTTATTGTCACTGCATTGTATACTGTGAGATTTGGCATAATATACATACCTATATATACAAAAATTATAAATATCAGGAGAGGCATTTTTAAATAATATAGTATTGCACATGTTGTGATATATTATAACATGATGTTTTTTTTCCGGATTGCACATTGATAAAAGTTACTGCACAGATATTTAACATTGATCATGTTATTGCACAGGTATTTTACATAAAAGTAATAAAACATTGTTTTTCATACCCATTTGGAAGATGCATGAACAAGTAATTTAAAGATGAAACCATCATGTAATCAATCATGATTATTTTTAGATTTAAAATGTATAAACTGCAGTGACATGCATTAAAAGTACAACAAGTCATCATTGCAATGACATGCTAGACAGGTTTGAAAGCCTCACCAGAGCAAAGTCAGTTCTGTATAAATTGCTGATTGTATTTTTTTCTTCTTAATCTGCATGGCTATTATGACTCTACTAGGTCACATCAAAACCATCTAATTGAGTTGTTAAATCTGATAGCTGTAGGATTATCTAAAAGCACATTTGAATACACTTACCAAGCTCCACTTCCTCTGGCTCGCTGTTATTAAGAATCGTCGGTGGGGAACTTGGCGAACTACGTGCTGTGTAGATATGGGAGATAAGGTCACCAAATTTACAGTGTATGGGAAAAAACTACAAATCAGATCCAAGCTCTATTCTGAGACATTGACACACAAGATAAAAAAAACCCCAAAACATTTTAGACTATGAGACAAATTTGCAACAAACCTCGTCCTTTACTTGTGCCATGCACCACAGTTTAAATTTGTAGTTTAGCAATTCATGCGATTGAAGTGCATAATCCACATTTTAGGGCATTTGTGTACATTTTGGATTACTCTGGTATTGTTTGATTAGTAATGGTATGTGGGAAATATGCCTTCTTCTAAGCTGTTCATCACTTCTGGAGTCTGTAGTTGCCATTGTGAGGCTGAAAAACAACAATAAGAGTAAAAGACATCATCCAAACTCTAGAATGACCAAAATCAGCTGTTTGGAACATCATTAACAGAATATAGTTTGCAAGGTCTGTAGAAGCTAATAATGTAATAACGGCTGATAACATAATCACTGGCCAATAACGTAATAAAAGTCCTGAACCGGTAATGTAATAACTTTTGGTTATTACATTTGCAAAGAATTTTTTGCTTTTTTCTTACCAGGCCAATAATGTAATAATTTATTACGTTATTAGCCAAACGATCAGGACTTTCATTACGTTATTGGCCTGTTACATTTTAAGGAGTGAAAATTTATTACGTTATTGGCCATTACTACATTATTAACTTCTACAAGGTCCCAGACATTGTGATGGAAATGAGGGGACTAATTTCTCTGTTAAAAAAGAAATATATAGAAATACACCTTAAATAAAGCGTACTCAAATCCCATGTGAATTCTATGGTTTCAAATATAAAACAGCGGTGCTCAGAAGCAAATAAAGGAAAATGTGTCCTTGTCCCAAACATGATGGAAGGAACTGAATAGAACATGATTTGACAATAAACTTGTTGTCTCGTTATTGATTTGCAACTCGTGAGAATGTTTCCTGCATTTCTCCTTTTGCATACTGTGTTTTACATCCTCCCTGACACATAAACATAAAATGGTTAGTACAAAAATCCAAAAAGTAACAGTGGTTCTGTGTTGTGACCTCTTTGCTCATCAAAACAGGCCACAGCGACTGCAGGTTGACAAAATGTCTACTGTTTCGAATAACAAAAGCAATGTATTAATTACAGGCTATCCAACACAAGCAGATTGCATCCACTTTCTCCATAATAACTCTACTTCCATTTATAGAAAGAAAACATAATCCTGTTATTTTATTTTTAAAAATTTTTCTTCATTTTTTTATAAAGTACATTTAAGACAACAGCTGTCAAAATACTGCCCGGCAAAAATAATGGAAATTCTAAGATTAGCCTAACAAATGTAAATATTGGGTCAAGACTCTACAGTGAGTGAGATTTTATCTGAGAAATTAAATATTAGGGATTAAACTCTACAAAATTGACACAAAATACGACTAAACCTGACTAGGATACACATTAGGGCTGAAACCCTAAAATGTTATTAAAAATAGAGGATAAACTTAGTAATTTAAATATTAAGACCAGATTACACATTCTGGAACTTACTTAAGTATCATAAATATTATGGCCCAGACCCCATAGCACTGTTAATTATGAAGACTAACCTGACAAATTTAGAGCTAAAGTTACAAAAATATTGTGACCTTACAAAAACCATTTCATGCATTTTAGCATATATAATTAGATTTTATTTGCATCAGTGGAAAGAAGCAACTCCAGTATTATCTTCCTGTTTGACTTAAACATGCAGTCTTGCACAATGCTTGCAGTAAACACACAAGCATCTAATCACCTGCTATGGAAGGAACTGGTGGCTTTTGGGTTTGATATTAGCCAGTGTTTAGGAAGGGGGTTAAACAACTGAAAACAAAATTTTCCATAGCTCATGACACTAAGGTGGATCCAGTACCAGGGTAGCTTTTGTAGAAAATGTAAAAAATGTCTTTGTGGTTCACAGTGTAGAGAGGTTGATTGATGGTGGAAAATGTTTTTGTTCGTTCTATGTGTTTCGAGTAAGTTTTTGAAGCTCTCAAAAACCTGAATGAAACATTTTTAGTTCAACTCATCAAAATGTTTGTTGAGGAGTTTCTAATAAATTGTCTTGTAGGTTTCCCAAATAGTGGAAAGTATCTTTTACCAGAACAGCTATCTCTAGGCAGAGGAAGTGGCCACAACACCCTGTATCAGGTAGTTATGATGTAATCTGTAGATTTTTCCTCTGTTAGTTTTCTCACAATCAACATCTTGATCCTAGCCTGAGAACGTCAGTGGTATCACAACCGCCGTTGTGAAACCTGGCAGTTTCACAATCACTCACTCTAGGCATCAGTACCTATTTGGGGGTAATAATACATTTCTGTGACTACTCATCAGTCAATTAGAGGTGAAGAAGCTTATTGGATGGAAGGTAAAATGTCCCCAACAGCAACAAAGTGAAGTTCAGTTGCTTTTAAATTAAGTTCATGCACAGAACTCAGGTATACTTCTTCTTTCATTTTAACTGCAGTAGCACTTTCTATCACATTTTCGACATTTGAGAACAACAGTTGACTGCTACTGGTGTTCACCTTGACAGGGATAAACTACTACCAACATACCCCAAACAAGACTGTAAGAGTCGACACACAGAAGGGGGGAAAGGTAATAATGGGAAAGATGTTTACAATTTGTAAGAATTCATGTGATTACAAATCCAATCTGCTTGTGCTACAGCTTCCCACTCATTACTCGTGACTTCTGCTGTGCTAATCAATAAACATAAAAAAAATAAAGGCAAGTATTTCCTACATTTCTTCAGCTAGACTTCATTCCACCAATAGCAAGCAAACTGTTCGCCAAAAATATTATTCATGGCAACTATACTTTTGTGTAATTTAAGTCATGTGCATTTTTCTTCAGAGTTGTACATGTGATAATTATAAATAAAGCACTATATGGGTACTTCAAAAAGTTCTCGATCTCACCTGGAAACAAGGGGTGTAACTCCCATTCTGGGGCATAACTATATTCCATAAAGTCTTATATCACTGTCCACAAAAATGTAACATCAGTAAGTTAGAGGAAGTTAGAGAAGAAATGGTGTGCTGTTGCTACAGAGCAATGAATCCATCCTTACAGCACAGGAAACAGAAGCAATCAAACATGACTTTGAACTGTTGCTTCATGCATCTTACTCACCCAACCTTCACTGTCTGACTTCTATCTGCTTCCCAAACTGAAATCCAACCTGCTTGGTCACCATTTCAGAGTGACGATGAAGTCATCCATGATGTTGAGGAGTTTCTGGAGGCTCAAGATGTGACCTTCCATAAAGCAATAGTGAAGCCTGAACCTCAGTGAACCACCAATCCATTATCTATACACTGCTTAATCCTCATTAGGGTCGCGGGGGGGCTGGAGTCTATCCCAGCCGACTTAGGGTGAACGCAGGGGACACCCTGGACAGGTCACCAGTCTATCACAGGGCCACACTTAGAGAGAGACAACCAAGCACACTCACATTCACACCTACGGACAATTTAGAATCACCAATTAACCTCAACATGTTTTTGGACTGTGTGGGAGGAAGCCGGAGAACCCGGAGAGAACCCACGCTGCACGGGGAGAACATGCAAACTCCACGCAGAAAGATTCCGGTGCCCCCACTGGGACGGGAACCGGCAACCTTCTTGCTGCAAGGCAACAGTGCTAACCAACTGCGCCACCTTGCAGCCCCCTCAGTGAACCATTTAAGTTAAAAGAGACTATTTTGAAAAAAAATGCAAGAACAAACTTTCTCGCCCCTATAGCTCACCTAGTTGAGCGGGCGACCCATGAACAGGGGCTGTAGTTGCCTGACGCAGCGGTCGTGGGTTTGACTCCACTCACAACCCTTTGCTGCAGGTTTCTCCCCATTCTTCTCCCCCCTTTCCTGTCTATCTCTACTGCTCTAAATAAAGGCAAAAAGCTCAAAAATATATATATTAAATAAGAAAAAACTTTCTTCTGTGATGTTTTCTGATCACACTGAGAACCTTTTGAAGTACCCTTGTAGATTTGTTTTCACCATTTAATTACCTTGGCTGATGTGAGAAACCTGTTTGTTTGCTTTTTTGCTGTACTGTTGTACTTTCTAGTGTCACAGCTTTCAGGGAAAAAAGAAAAAAATCTTTGTATGTTGACGTGAACGTTATTTACAATGTGAAAAACAAGTTGCATATTACTTAACTCCACTTACGTGTGACTGTGACGCTAACAGCCCTCCTGAGCGTCCATGTGATATTTTCCTCCCTCAGTCGTCTGTCACAGAAATATACACCCCCGTCACGTTCACGGACTGGTTTGAATTGTAACTCCCCATTGTCTACACAAGACTTAGTCTTGTCGCCCTGTGAGAGGACACACATGTCTGAGTGTTTTTTGTTGCGATTTCAACGTTTGCATCGTGAAATGGTTAATCCAGTTCTTGTGCATACTTCACCTTGTACCAAAGGACATCTGTGTTGTTGCTACATTTGAGGCCTGGGCAGGTGAGCTTCCCTCCAGCAGTCAGACGCAACGTTACATGGCTTTTCTCTCCAGGTTGGTAGCATCCCACACTGAGTTTCTCCACCTGTAGATGGAAGATGAGCTTGCTGCCACTGGACAGCAGAGACCTGAACACTTAACTGGAAATTCATGCAGTAACGTGCACTTCTTAAAAAACAAACATTATAATACACATTTTAGTTGAACAGTTAATCATATTTTTATAGCATCTGAAAAGATAGGCTCACATTTTTTAAGTCTGTAATCTCAAAACATTACTCACATGTTCATTTTTACTGCTGTAATTGTTCCTCTTCTCCATAGTGCAGAAATGCCTTTCTGTTTTAAATGAGTCCTCCATTCATTTTAATTTAAGGCTTCAGAAGTCAAAGTTGGTCAAATTATGTGGGTTTGTAATCTGGTACAAAATTCCCTTTTTGTGTTTCCACAGGCAGTGTTGTCTGTTAATGCTGAGAAGTTTTGTACAAACAGTGTAACTTTTTATTGAACTGGGCTCTCTTTGTGCCCAGTACAGACGAGTGAAATGACTACAGGAAGCAACAGCTGCTCCTTCCATGTGGACATGTAACTGTGTTTCAAGGCAGACCTAAAAATGTGAAACTATCATTTAAAATCCTCCATATATATCGTATTATTATTATCACCACTTACCTTGTGAGGTCTGTGTACTTTCCAGAATGTTTTGCTTCAGCTAAGAATGCTTTCCCACAGTCAAACGAATGACCTTTATATTCTTCTCCGCCTTCTCCAGTCCTGGACCACACAGTCGGCGAAGAATTAATGCACGGCAACATAAAGGTCTCCCCCTCCACAGCTCTGTAGTGCAGACGTGTAGCATCCTGCTGTTGAGCTAGACACACAGATTAGTGCTCACAGTCATATTTAAGTTTGAAAAGCTGCTCCGAGGCAGAGCCACAAAAAAAAGAGGAAAAATTTAATTCTAAACTCCTAATAAATCATATTGTGTTGCATCTCATCATATTATGAAGTTTTGTAATCGGATATCAAAAGAAAACACAATTGCACTATGTGGTTACACGCCTTGCTTTGAACATAAAAATCATAGTTAAATAGCAATAAATAGAGCAGTAGAGGTTTGAGATGCCATTAATAACTGCATGCATACATCTTTTAAAACATTCAACACTTTAAAAGTACAGTTTCCAGCTTTAAAGTTCAATTTAAAAGACTTGTAAGAGTTGTATTTAAAGACAATACCTGTTTTTTTCCCTGGATGGCATCCCACAGAAAGACTGGGAAAGATGAACAAATACAGGATGTATTCAGTTGGCATGCTGAGTCTTTAAATCTGTAGTAACTAGTTGTTGGTGTCAGTCATGGCTGCGATGAAATCAGCCTCCCCCCCTCCCCTCCTCCGAATATTTCCTTAGTATGATCTGATCCGGAGTTCTTGGTATTTTCTCAGTTCCATCGTTAGTAGTTGCGTCTTCTCTGTTGAGCTGAAAGTCTTGTGGTTCACTTTTTTTTTAAGGGCGTATAGATGCTGGAGTAGGTGGTTTCCTTCAGTTTCCTGTTTGAGGGTATTTAACTTGAATTCACGGGAAGTAAGTTGCTCTAATACTTATGTTCTTCTTACTTGTTAGCCACTTCCTATGTAAACTGCAGAAGAGTATTTTGTTGAGTTCTATTTTCCTCTTGAAATGAAAAATACTTTATTTATCCCAGAAGGGAAATTCAATTGTGAAATTCTTGTGACACCAACTTGTATTAGTTTTGAAACTAACTTGTTTTCATGACTTGAAGTGCAAAGAATACTGAATTATAAGTAAATAGGCTACACCAACAGGGGACACATAAATATAGGATTAAACTACTGTAAAGATAAAGCAGTTTAGGCAAATTTCAAAAGGCTGTAAAGTGTTTTTAGTTTTATTTTTAATTAACACAAACACAGTTTTTAATGAGCAAACTGAGGGACTGAAAGCGTGGTGCATATGCTCATTGCTTTGAGCTGCGGTAAGTATAGCTAACCTGCATGTACTGATGACCTGGTTATTTGGATCATATCTGCACTTTCCCTGGCCCACATCAGCCTCTGCTGTTTCCTCTGTACCTCTAAAGTGGGTTAAAAGTGTTCAAGTTTTACATATCTCTAATGACTATTTAGCAGTTTGTTAACATTATTATCATTATTTGCAGCATGATTTAACTGGACTTTGGTTGAGCATATAACTGATAAAATCTGCCAACAACAGTCATTTCAGCCACCAAAATGTATAGTTCTTGACTAGAAACACAAAACCTGCATTTATCAATCCCTGTCTGAAATGAGAGATGTTGTTTCATTGTTTCAAAAGCTACTATGAAATTTGGGCAACAAACCTGCTGCCTTTGTCATGTAAACTGCATTGTGTGTAGGATACCAATACTAACCAAGGGGATTATAGGGCTCTTATAGCTAAAAATATTCATTTAGAAATAAGAAAATCAGTATCACCTCATTTACTCTCTTTTACTATCAACTGGTGTTTGTTCCAGTGATTAATTTATATCAATTTTTTTAATTTTGTATTTTTTAATTTATTTTATTTTTTTTTACCATGTTTAACTCTGTTTATGCACTTTTTGCTTCTGTGGTCTTTTTTATCTTCCTGTTTGGCCTGTCTGGCTTCCTTTTGTAACATTTAACACTTTCTTCCTGAGTACCCTGTTTATCAGCTTATCTGTCACTTTGCAAACTGCTTTTAACAGGTGCTATATGAATAAAGTTATTATTATTATCATTCTCATTGCAGAGCTGGAAACAGAGCCATTTAGGATAAATTATAATACAGATTGGTGAGACCCAGGATGTAATAGAGGTATTTTCCAGTCATTCTGAGCAGCATATTTAGTTTTTTAAAAAAAACATTGTGTTGCAAGATGTGGTTGTTGGATAAACATCTCCTCAGAATCTTGCACAAAGTCCTTTTGCTTAAAAAAAAGAAAAAAGAAACAGCATATTCAACCATGTAGTAAATGTGTTATTGTAGTGAAAATACATTTATCACAAAATGCATTAATATTCTTGTCAGACATTTTTTTTTAAAATTAGATTTTATTACTGAAATATGGACACAAATATAAAATCCAATTTGTTTTGAAGCACAATTTACACATGTTTCGCCCTAAGGCATCCCAGTGTCATTTGGGTACACAAATGGAAGGTGAGAATGAAGAACCAGGATGAAACAAAAATATGCTATGAATGAGAAAAGTGCAGATACCTAGCTGAACTATAAAACTAAAACAGTTGTACAGTAAATTCATTAATATATTGCAGGTGGGGCCGCTGCTATAGCTCACCTGGTTGAGCTGGCATCCTATGTGTAGGGCTACAGTCCCAATATGGAGGTCATGAGTTCAAATCCCGCTTAGACCCTTTCCCTATAGGGTCTTTTCCCTACTTTCCTTTCTGGGCTGCAAGGTGGCGCAGTTGGTAGCACTGTTGCCTCGCAGCAAGAAGGTTGCCGGTTTGCGTCCCGGTGGGGGCACCGGAATCTTTCTGTGTGGAGTTTGCATGTTCTCCCCGTGCAGCGTGGGTTCTCTCCGGGTTCTCCGGCTTCCTCCCACACAGTCCAAAAACATGTTGAGGTTAATTGGTGATTATAAATTGTCCATAGGTGTGAATGTGAGTGTGCTTGGTTGTTTGTCTCTAGGTGTGGCTAAATGTTAAAAATGATTCAAACCAGTATTAATTCTTTATTATAGATGCAGAATATAAGCTGTTGATGGTCAGTGTGTCAGCAAATGTCAGTGCCTAAAATGTAGTTTTAACATACTGTATATGTAGCATTGATTTTAAAAATCATATACTAACAACAGGTATGATATGAGATAATGATTCAGACTTTTCTACGTTTAGTTAACATCCTGGACTGTCTGTGGTAAAAGCTGCATTTTTGGTGCATGCTGTGGGGCAGGAAGGTAATAGCGAAGTTGCTTCCAGAAGGAGGAGGAGGGCAGCATGGAGCTCATGCCTTTCCAGGTGACATGGTTTCCAGCCTCGCTAAGAAGCTGTAGAGCATCTTGTAATGAACCTGAATTTGACATTTCAGGTGTCTCAGTGTTGATAAAAACCAAGCGAGTCTGTTTCTCCACGAGGGCTTCATGGATGACACTCAGCAGGCCAGATCCCAGACCAGGATCTGGAGATGTAGGAACCAACACCACTGTCCGGCTCTGCTCTATGCAGTCCAACACTGCTTGTGCTACAGCTGAAAGAAACCAGAGTTCAGATTCAACATTACATTTTTCTAATATTTATTTTGGAAGATGTTCCTCAGAGGATTTATCAATGACTTACCATTTCCTGGTAAGATGTCACGATCATAAAGACAGAGACTGTAGCCAAATCTTTCCTCCAAAACACTCTCCAGCGTTTTTCTGTCTTGAGCATTTAATCCTTCATCTGTGTCACTTTTGTAACACATCAGAAAGGCATCATAGCTTTTTCCATCTAAGCAAACAACAACAAACTCTGTCACATTGTCTGCAGTCATTTGAAAAGTACCAATAAGTTCTTCCCTCTTTAACATACATTATGAGGTAAAAAGAAAGAGTCAACAGAATTGCTGCCTTGCAGTTGTATGCCTCCATCGGCCAATCAGGTTACAATTTACATGAATGTCAGTCCAAACTCATTTCTTATATAATGAAGTATGTAGGTACAATGACAGAAACAAAGTGACTCCAATTCCTCATATGTGCTTACAGGCTTTGCCAATAAAGCTGTTTCCCATAGAACCCAAAGTTGTTGCCATGAGAGTAAACCATGCTTCCAATATGGATGTTACTGCAAATTCTAAAACACAGATGCTTCACATACATTTTTAACCCAGCAGCATAGAAGATCTACACAATCACTGCAAGGCAATGAAAGTAGGACCTAAAGACCAGTGTCACAAATTTAGTTTGAGATCACATGTGAAATATGGTCACAAAAAAAGTGTCATGACTTTTCTGGCCATCATGATGTCACAGTGAAGAGACCTTTGACCTTTTGAATATTAAATGTCATCATTTCATTTTCTCCTGAGACATTTGTGTGAAATTTTGTCATAATTAGTGTACGACTTCTTGCTTCACAGCCAAACCCGTATTTTGACCACCAAATACTCATAATCTCTTTCTTGTGCCAGCTGTAATAAAACTCTTTCCAGACGTGCCTAGCTACCGTGATGGCATAAAAATATGACTCTTACCTGAGGTGCTACTATGGCAGCCAAGAGTGTCTCTTAGGAAAAGACTGATGTCAACTTTAAACTTCACGTAGATTACTACCGTCACAACTGACACCACTACAAAGAAAACAATGCATACAGCCAGGGAAATGTACGAAGGGCGAGCTGGAAATAATAGAACAAATGATTAGATAGCAATTGACAAACAAACGGACAGATCACAGACCCAAACGTGAAACATCTGTTGATTATCTGATTGAAAAAAATATTATAACAGTTAATTTGTTAATTCAAAAACACTTTAGGTAAGAATGAAAATCACTTAAGAAGTACGGCCAAGTTACCTTTTCGGGTCAGCGTGATGGTGACAAACTTTGGGGTCTGAATGTCATTTTCCAGTTTACAGGTATAATTTTTTGACAGATGCTCTTCCAACACTTTTGTGAAGACCAGAGATGCTGTCATCTTTTTTTCTGTATTGTTCCTGGGAAGAATGAGAAATAATGATGGAGACAAACTGTTTGCTGAATGTCTGTGTCCATGTAAAGAAACTCCACTTACAAACGTAGTTGTTACAGTGGATACATGTGAGTCTTATGCTTACCACGTCGTATTGTAGTAAACTGGTGAACTTTCTTTTTTATCGAAAAATGTTTCTCCACTGAACCAGAACAGTGAAACAGTGTCCGAATGCGTGAAAGCTTCACAATTAATCACCTTTGGAGAGCCTAGAAAAAGAGTTTTCACAAGAATTTAAAGTGATATTGCACACAGATAGTAAATCTCTGTGTATCCAGGCTGCTTACTGCAAACTCACCCAGTTCTACCTGAAATTCCTCATTATTGCGTGGTTTTTGGATCTCTGCAGTCTTCCTTTTTTCTGTACATAAAGAGAGAACACACTTTCTTCATCGTTTGTGCATGTGAACCTCCAATACGGTAAATATACTTAAGAAGTGCTTTTCTTACTGTGTGGTAGGACAGAAAGGTTCACTCTAAAGGTCACATTATATGTTTGACCATGGTACAGGTAAGACTTGGTGCAGGTGTAGACACCGCTGTGTTTCTCTTCCACACTTGAGAACTCGCCATTTTCTGGCGCCTCCTGAAAACATGTGAAGAATGTTTGCACATAAACTCACATTACTCACATATTACACATTCAAATGCACAAAATGCTATGTTTTGTTTGTAACTTACAATACCTTGTTCCATGTGGTGCCTTTACTGGTAAATTTGTCAGCAGGGATATATATATCAGGACAATACAGCTTGCAGAACTCTTCTGTGAAACATTTCCTAGAATACATGTCTTTGGACTGAGTGTACACTGTCAGATTGATCCAGTGCTGGCTGCTGGTATTCCTGTCACGGTAATAAAGAAAACGTTTTTTCTTAGCCAGTGTATTCATGCTACACGCAGAGGGATCTGGCATCGTTTGGCAGCATCACCTCAGCTTAAGCAAGTAAAAAATCCTTCCAGAATTCATGACATTGTTACTTTAGATAATTTCCTATATTTTCATAAGCTCCAAATTCAGGAGCTGCACTGGAAAAGAGTGTTTTCACTGTGCATCTGCAGAATCATCTCTCACATTCATGTACTGGTTGTCCTGCACGTTGACAGAAATTGAGGTCTACAGAGCATCAGAAACAGGGAAATGTTTGGACCTTACCCGGAAGAGCACTCGTAATTCCCCTGATGGTTTATAGATGCATTGAGGATCACAAGTATGTTCTCATGAACCACCACACCGATCTGCCTTTGCTCCGTTGCTGACATCTTGTTGTACAGATACATGCCCTGGCTGCTGTTGCTTTTCCAGAGCGTTTTGCCATCCCCACCTTCACAGTACAGAGCCACAATCTCACCTGCCTTGACTCGGATCTCCTTGGATGTCACGGGACACACACCTGAAAAAGAGTGTAGCAATTAAGTGTGTCACTCTGTAAAATGCTAGATTGTTAATGTTAACAATGTCATTAATGTGTTGAATCACACAGAAAGGTGACTGGTTAAAACCAGTACCAGTGGAACATCAGCATCCTGCCCAGTGTTCAGGAAGTTTGCACAAAACTTAGTCGTTTCATTTTGCTGTAAATCGGCACATCAGTAGCACTGGAGATTAAAATCAAAATGCTTTTTTCTTGTGTTGTTATGGAGATCCGAGTGATGCAAAGTTTGGTTTTGTCCTACTTTTAAAAATAGAGAAGAGGCTATAAGATTAGCTATTAATCTTTAGTGAACTGTTCACATTATGGGTGATGACTCCTGACCCCTGTGAGGTTAAAAATATGAATGACATGGTTTAATATGAGTAAAACCAGAAGGCAGTTATCAGTCAACTCCTGTGGTTTCACCCAACTCAGTTGTACATTGAGCTTTCATATTCATATTTAACTCGTAAGGAATTGTAACAAAATGCATTTTTTTCCCTAAGTTTTTCTAGACAACCCTAAATTCTACACGTATATAATCCATCATAAACCTTGACTGCAACTATTCACATTAATACTGCTGGTAATTAAAAAATAAATAAATAAATAAAAAAATTGTGATCCAAATGTGTATTAGTTAACATTTTTTGGCTGCCAAGTAATTCAGTTTCATTACCCCTGCACCATGTGTATTTACATAACTTCAGGTTTCCCAATCACAAAGGTGAGAACCAGGAATAGTTAGAACAAACATTTTAGTAGACGCACTGTAAAACAAGCAAATAACAATAGTTCTTATCTGTTTTTTACCTTTACCTGTCTAAACTGTGTTTCTATATATATTGGAAGACAAATCACCAGTGAAATGAGCAGTCGGCATCATGGCTGAACATTTCTGCCTTGAGGCTGCAGTGTACTGATAGCTGTCTCAAAAAATTCAGACTTCCAGGGATTTGTATGTAAAATAAACCTGTGGAACAAATGCTGTCAATTTGCAAATTGGGGCTTTACATATCTTTAATCTCAACGTATGATTTACTCCTATATCGCAACTTGTCATGATAGTCTTACAGTGTTTGAGCATCGTTGTAGGGAAGCTGGTGTGCTGACGCTACAGGGATTGTGGAGTGGTGGGAAAGGGAGAGGTGGAAACATCATAAATCTGCACATTTTAGAGAAAGACTGTTACAGTGAATCCATTTTGAATCAGGAAGAGATTATTTGAATTGGATTGTATCATGAGAAGATGTGTGAATAAAACACCAAGTCACTGTGCATTATCATAATGCATTTTCTTTATGGCAAATGATGTTTATGAAGGAAGTTATTCAGCATTAAATAGAATAATGTTGAATCATGCCGAAATAAGTCCCAAACAATGACTGCACAAGTGGGTGAAAACAAGCTTACTGGCTATATGGGATACCATTAAAGTTGATAATAGTGTACCTCTTACTCTTACATTTGTAAAAGCATGAGATTGACAGCTGCAACTGTTATGAGATCTCACGTGTTAATCACATCCTGATCTATTCATGCCTCTTAGTTCTCAGTCACTGTCAAGGAAAAAGACTCAAGTTTGTCAAAGTTGGAACTCCTCAGCATGTTACAGGAAATACAAGGTGTGCAAGAGCATTTAAAATGTTTAGAATATATGTTTGATTGTGCAATATTTACAGTCTGGGGAAACACTAAGTGCATCAAAGTCTTTTTTTTTTCTTACATTTACTGCTTTTTTTCCCCACTCAATATTTTGTTAAATTACAGATAACAAAAAATATTAATTTATATGTTTAAATAAACAGGCCAAAACTGTACATAATGTCCACATATAAAAAATCCTTCTACAAATGGAAATTGATTCTTTTAGAATGCTTGACCCTTATCATTTGAAAGAAAAAATATGCGTGATGAAGACTGCAAATGGTAAATCATTTCTGAATCCCTCCCCCCCCTTTGTTGAATTATAGAGAATATACCCACGTGTTCTTAGCTACTGTAGACCCTGGTAATTTTACAATTTTATGTCATCAACTTAAATATCAGTGACAATAACATTAGAATCTCTCCAATTATGATCAGTCCTCGGCCAATCGCATCACAACGAGTACTTTCAAAAACCATAAAATAATAAATATTTCTTTATGTGTCATCTGACATTTATGCTGCAGTTAAAGTCAGGGCAACCTAGAAATATTAAAGCAGAAAGTTATTTTTATACAGAAGTACCAAGTGTGCAGGTACAATTCAAAATACGTGTATGTCGGTTTACTGTTCTTATTCTGAGGCAAATATTGATTGCATCTTTTTAATCACCGTGTTTCTTTGGTAACTTAACTTACTTACTGAATAAAAAGTATTTTAGATTAGGATAAGAATGTATTTGGAATTAGGAGTGCCAGCAGTAAACTAAGGACAAGTAGCTCTAGATTTACCAGCTTTACAATAAAAGTGATGCACACAGCAATGCATGAAGAATTAAAAACTAATCATTTATAATCGTTTTTCAATCTGCATAATGAGAATTTTTGACTAGGATGACTTTAAGTAGGCTACGTAGTGCCTGGCTGATAATGCGCACTGATTTATTACATGCAACACATGATTATGCGTTTAATTATGTCTGTGTGTCCAGTTTGCATGAATCTTTTTCTTTTTCGTCATTTGTGTGTGTGTGTGTGTGTTGAAAAGGACAGAATCCAATCATACCGAAAGCAACGTGTAATTCTCACGGTTAAAAATCACCAAGAGTTATTTTTCTTACCCGCTGTAAGCGTGAAGAAGAGAAGCTGGAAGATCGCCATGATAAACTTCAGCACACATTCAGCACACTGGTCCAACAGTCTCCAAATGTAACAGTGATCTCGTCACAGCAGAAACCACATGCTGAGAAAAAAACGAAACTTCAGGAAGAGCGTCACACTTTCTGTGCAACTCCCCCCTGCAACAAAAAACATCTTCTGTTCTCCTTTTCTGTTCGTTTTTCTCGGTTTCCCTACAATTATTGTCAATACTTCCATGAAGTGGTGGTTTCCTTTTATGAAGAATGGAATAAACAGTCAAAATGGACATTTTGAAATACTCTTGTCAGCAGGAACAGAGGCTTAAGCAGAGCAGGTATCTGGCTGGAGGAGAGCTGGGACGGAGACTTACACATTCAATTTAGTTTTATGTATATACAGTCCTGAAGAAAATTCTATCATACACTTGTAAAGACCATGTATATTATGGCAGCCTTGAGTTTCCAGTGACTCCTGCAACTCTTAATTGTCTATAGAATAGAACAGAATGCTTTTATTGTCATCATACACAAAGTACAACGAAATTAAAAGACAACGCCAGTGGTGCAAAATACTAGTATAAAAGACGAATAAGAATATATAAATATATTTACCAAAAGAGCCAGCAGGACGTATATTCAATTTCTTCTACCAGACGGTAGAATAATATAGAGAACACTGTGGAAAAATGAGGAATATAAATATTGAAATAAATAATATATAATAATATATAACATATAATATGTATGTAAGTATGTGTATAAGATATAAAATAGTATATAATAATTATAAACAGCATGGTATAATATAAATCATAAATATATAAGATAAATAGTGCAGACTATAGACTAGTGTGGTTCAGTGTCCGTATTGCACAGAACGTGTTGGTGAGTTGTCAGACTGCTGCACGACTGCGCGCCGCCATCTTAAAAAAATACGATGGAATCAGTGATGTTATTGATCCGCGCCGATATAACCCCGTACAGGGCTACTGGCCCAGCTCTCCGTTTCTAGGGTTAGGTTCTACCTGCCCACAGGCCCTTGACCTACTAGGATTCTGTAAAACTGTTTAAGCTGGTGTTAGGGAAACTCGCCTAGCTTCTAACTGCCTTAATCCAGACATCTACTCTACTCTTCCTCTAATAGTTGACCCAACTAAGTACCCTCAGGAGTCAAATCACTCTCCCAGACACACCTGTTAGTGGCAGCTTTCCTCTTAATGGATCGAGCACTTGGTAAGTTGCTAGGTTAAAATTTTGAGGTTTGGCACAACTCACAGCAGGGATCTGTTTAAGAATACTATTTTACTTGTGACTTAGAATAACCATTAAGAACCACTATAAAGATCTTGTGCACACAATTGACTAACTTTCCACTACCATCAGATACTGTGAATGACTTAATGAAATTTCAAACCAAATAAACTTTAAATGCATAATCAGATATTTATTACAAAACTTTAGCAGGGGCACAGCAACAGCTCATAATTATTCATTCAAAATATTCCAAAATATGATTAAACCAATTGATTTGAGATAAAATTATAGAACTGAGCTTTTCTAAAATAGTAACCTAATAAGTAATTAGGGGAGAGGGGGAGAGCCGAACAGCCTGGCCATAGCTGGTTAACTCAGCCCTGCTCAGACCTGAGCCTGGAGGAGTCCTCTTCTAGTGATGCAGCAACCCAGTACAGAGTCCTGAACCCCGGGCAAAACCCTCCTGTCTCAGGGGGACATGAGAAGTCCCTACTCCCATCAGATCTGCAGTTCTTTTGCATCCATTTGGGGAAGGAGGAGAATACTTCTTCATGCAGAACACAGACAGAGGTTCTGCTGCTCCTCTTGAATAGAATTTGCAGACCCATCAGGACTTCTTCAATCGGTGGAGTGTTCAGCTCCAGCGATGTCCCGTGAACTCCACGATCTCCATCGCGAGCAGTCTCCAGGAGCAATCTCCATGAACTCTGTCTGAAGTGTCATTGTCAGGCCTTTTTATACTGTATTCAACTCTCCCCCTTCCACACGTTTACTGCTACCACACAGTTTTTATCCTTAGCACATACACTTGATTACACACACACATTTCTAATTGGCACTTCACCTTTAGCCCATATATGTGATACTTCTAGGATCTGATTCACATATTTGGTAATAGCACAGAGCACAGTCTGGCAATCACAGGATACATGCTGGTAAAAAGAGGAACCATTAACTGCTTTAGCAATGGGTTCATTCTGAAACCTTCCTGCAGACAGTGGCCACATGTGACATGTGTAGACCTGAGCTGTTTTAGGGACACTAACCTTTCTTGATCTCTTGACATTTTCACCCCTTCTCTCATCTTTAACTGTGCAGCTTTAATTCAATGGTTACACGAAATCACCTTTAATTTATTGCAATGTTAAAAAAAACCATTTCACATTTAAACAATCACCAGATTACAGCATTTCTTATCTTAGAATCTTTTCTTTTGCTGACGCCAGGCCAGTGTTCTTTGTTAGTGGCTGCTTCTGGGATCTCAAACCTTGACTCCACTTGACAATGTACAAAGATCTTTGTCACAAAAAAAACCTAAAAATAAAAAAACAATCATGCATTTTCACCGTTTTATAGATTTATTACAGGTCTTCTGGAAACGTGATGAAATCTAATGGGTTGAAAATACACACACAGCAACTGAAACCAAAATTGAGCTATTTGGCCACAATGACCAGAAATATGTTTGGAGGAGAGAAGGTGAGGCCTTTGTTGGGAGAAGACTGTCTTTTCTCCGTGTGTTCGTTTGTAAAGATGAGACAAGATTCAGCTCGGTCTCAATTAATCAATTTAATCACATGCTGAATATTGCATTACAGAGCTCTGGGTTAAACTCTCCCTGGCATCAGACAGAGTAAGACCACTTCCCTTTTCCTCTGACCCGTCTTTATACTTTTAAATCACATGATGTATAATTATTATTGTGGTTACAGCCCATTTCCATCACACTCGAGTAATTGTATCTCATCTGACTCCGTCAGCTGCTTGTCCTGTAAAACCATATAAGGAAAAAACCCAAACACCTCACAGAAAGAAGAAGTTTCGTGATTATGTGCATAAATGTAACTTCCTTTATCTTTTAAGCCTTAAGGACTATACTTCACACATTGTACTTCACACATTGTATAATATATTTATACACAACACCTTCAACCCAAAGAACACCAAACCTAGCATCAAGCATGGCGGTGGCAGTATTGTGCTCTGAGGCTCCACAGAGTACCTCCACATTCTTCACAAAAACCCTTAAATCATCAGTCAGAAGGTTTGGTCTTTGATGCAGTTTGGTGTTAGAATGAGGCAATGGCCCAAACTCACATTAAAAATGGTAAAGAAAGCGCAAGTCAAGTTAGAATTAATTAGTTTTTAGTTTTAGACTGGCCTTCCCAAAGTTCTCCCTTATACCCCATTAAGGACCTGTGGACTCTGCTGAAAAAACACATTTGTGTCAGAAAGCCAAATTTAGTTGAACAACATCAATACTGTGAGGAGGACTGGTCAAAAATACAACCAGACGCTAGTGAATAGCTTATGGCTAGCGCCCAAAAGCGTTAGTGTGTTACTTTTTGGGGGGGACAAAGACATGTGTTTCAATCATTCTGTCATAGAAAACTAAGAGTTGTAGGAGTCATTGGAAACTCAAGACTGCCATGACATACATGTCCTTTAAGTGCAATGTAAACTTTTGCTCATGACTGTCGCATCAGTTCAGTCATCTCAGAGCATTACACATATTCATAACTTCTAATAACTTGTTTAACTGTAAACTAAACTTTATAATTCATCCTACATCCACCCAACCGGTCGAGGCAGATGGCCGTCCCTCCCTGAGCCTGGTTCTGTCGGAGGTTTTTTTTCCCCTGCGGGGGTTTTCGGTTCCTTCCCACTGTTGCTGACTGCTTGCGGACTGCTGAAGCTTATAGGGAATCCAAATGTTTTGGATTGTTGGGTGTTTCTGTCTCTGCCTTTGTGAAGCGCGATGAGATGACTTGTTGTAAATATGCGCTATACAAATAAAATTGAATTGAATTGAATTGAATTGAATTGTGAAAGAGACAAGTTACAAAAGAGAAGAGAAACCAAACAAACCCAAATAACTGTTTCTGAATGAAGTGCTGGCAACTGTGAAAAGAAAAGGAGGACACTTCCAACAGAACCAGGCTCACAATGGGCAGCAGCCTAGACTGGATGGGGAGAGGGTAAAGATGAGAGAAAGCTGGACAGCAGATAGAAAACAGACAATCAATGCAACTATGAGCTTTAACCAAAAAAAAAAAAAAAAAAAAGGATATTAAAGACAATATAAAAGATAAAGAAAGTGGAAGTGGAAGATAACTGCACTGATGAAACAGAAAATTGGTTTCAGACTGACTCATACACTGAGGAAAGTTAGAATAGTATGCCTTTGATATAAACATGACTGAACTTCAAAAAAGGAGCCAACAGTCAGTGTGGGTCAAAATACCATTACTGGATGGTTTATTAAAACCAGGGTCTCTGACATCATTTCTAATTCAAACCTACGCATTGTTGCTGCAGGTGGCAGCACACAAATCAGCAGGCCGATGCAGTGGGAGTGTGATCGCAGTGAATAACCAAAACTGCATTTAAAATAAGCTTATTTTTCACAACAGAAAATACGTAAACTAGCACAAATGCCACAATAAATAAACAATATCACTACTAATTAACAGGTCAGGCACTCTAGAGGTCAGCGGCAGCCTGCAGCGGCAACCTACCAATTACTAGAAATACAAGGATGTAAAGCAAACGTATAAAGTTAAACTGCAACCAGCGCTTTATCTGTGAATTTAACAACATACACATTAATCTCAGTAACCACAGGGGAAACCACAGCTTAATAATGTAGAGATGCTTCTAGAAGTTGTGGCTGGAGGCAATGAATGACTGGCAGACCCACATTTTTTTCAAGATTCATGTGGCTTATTCATAAATTAATACCTGCTACACAGCATTTGTTCTCAGGAAAGAACTGTTAGTAACAGGTAAACGGTTTTCTTTTTTTTTTTTTTTTAATCAGACAATGAGTATATTTAAGTAGGAGCTGTTTTTACCTTTTGACATGTTTCGACTGTCATGTCAGTCTTCTGATGTCTGTGGTGACATGTCTTTATCAGCTGGTGGTTTCCTGGAGGAGGCGTGACCCACCTGGCAATCTGTCAGATTTGCCCGACAGGCCACGTCACCTGCTACCCGGTGGTCTCTGCAGGAGAGCGTCCCATGTGTGGGACAGCATGAATGCCCCCTCATCACGGTTCATGGTGTCTTTTGCTTGCCTCCTGATTTCTATGGCCTCCTTGATCCAGCGTTTGAATTTGTTGTTCTCTGATGCGATGATCTTTGCGTTGTCCCAGTCCATGATGTGGTTATTTCTTTTGCAGTTATCTGATATGGCTGATTTTAGGTTCACCTGTTCTGCTTTTTCTTTTTGTGATCATGTGAGTCGTCCTGATGTTTCCTTTTCGC